TGGCCAGAAGAATTTAAAGTGCAGCCAAGTATTTAAATGAGATGCCATTATCCGCTTTCAGTGAACCCTCTCCTCTTCTCAGGGTATGGCTTCCACAGTATGCACAGTGCTATCTGACACCCAGACAAAGGCACTAGTCAACTTTGTTTTTGTTTTTTTAAGGTTAAAAACGTAATTAGAAGTTCTGTTTTCTTCCCATACCCCTATGGATCACCTTGTTTACACCGTAGGATCAATACGCCCCATTGTGGAGGACATTGTTTTACAATTTGTCATCTGGGTGTTCAACTCTAGTCTTCAGATTTTTATAGTCTTTATAAGAGGACATTTCACTCTCTTAAGACTAGAAAAGCATTGACTTACTGTATTTTCCGTGGCATCTGTTGAGCTAGCTCAGGGAATACTTCCAAAGTCACTTCACTGTTCCAGAGCAAGGACTGGCATCTATTAACACTTTTAACAACATATATTAAACATTGTAATATTTTAATAAGTTTCAACAAAGAGCATTGTAATAAATCAAAGATTAATAGTGAGCTGAAATTGTAGATTCACATTCTTACTATTAACACTGTGATTAAGATTGATGATAAAATACTAGAGATACTGTCATTAGTAAGCTCTTTACCTTGACTATGGATATTTCTTCCATAACTGTTCTAGGCTTTCAGAAGGGAGCATTACGCCTGAGAGCAGTTGTTCTCAACCTTGGCTGAACATAGGAATCACCTGGGAAGTTTTGAAAAATCCTGATGCCAGGGTACCAATTTAATTACTCTGGAAAAGTGCCTGGGCATCAGGATTTTTAAAAGCTCTCCAGGTGTTTTTAATCTGCAATTTAAGTTGAAAACCACAGCTTTACTCTTTTCAAAGTGTGATTCATGAACTGGTACACTTGTATCACCCGAAAGTTTGTTAGAGATGCAAAATCTCGGGCCTCACCTCAGACCTCCCAAATGGTAATCTACATTTTTTTTTTTTTTTGAGATCTATATGTACGTGTGTTTTAAAGTTTGAGAAGACTGCTTTACATTATAACCTGTGGAGAACTATCCTCCTAAATTGCTGCAGTTCTTAATAGTGCCTCATCTACGAGATGACGTCAAGCAAAACATTTTGTAAAGTTTTTGTTTTGTTTTACAAATATAAGGGCAGGGTACAAATGCAAACCTCTTGGATGTAGATTCTGTCTAGACTGGCACCTGAGACGTATTTATTTTTGTTTCTACTCTGCTTCAAACCCTGAGTCTGCTAGAATTTTTTCCGTTATATCTCTTAGTCCTTTAGAAACCAGAAGGAAACCATTTTTCTAACATATCCCTTTGGAACAACCCAAGTTCAATCTAAACTACACCCCAGGCAGCTTTCTTTCTTTCTTTTCTTTTCTTTTTTTCAGTTCCATTAAATTTCCTTTCTTTTTTTTTTTTTTTAAGATTTTATTTATTTGACAGAGAGACAGCGAGACAGGGACATTCTGGTTTTTAAAAATATTCAAGGGATTTGTCCTGAGTGCTAGAGTCCCAGTCCCCCTGACCTAAGACACCTCTGCCTTGTTGACTCTCCTGCAGCTGGAGGGCTCACCTCTAGTCCAGCAGGAGCTCCAGGACCCTGAACCCGGCCTCTAGTTGCTGTCCCTTCTGATTGGTCAGTGTTTGCATGTTTATGCTGCCTTGATGAAATCAAAGTTTTTTGTCTCATCATTTTTTCTCATTCTATTCTGTTGTCACATCTTGTATTTTATAACTTTTTCTTGCACATACCTGCATGCCACAAGTCTCGACTGTTTTTTTTTTTTTTAAAGATTTTATTTATTTGAGGGGCACCTGGGTGGCTCAGTCGTTAAGCGTCTACCTTCAGCTCAGGCTGGGATCAAGCCCCGAATCGGGCTCCCTGCTCAGCGGGAAGCCTGCTTCTCCCTCTCCCACTCCCTGTGCTTGGGTTCCCTCTCTCGCTGTCTCTTTCTCTGTCTGTCAAATAAATAAATAAAATCTTTAAAAAAAAAAAAAAGATTTGAGAGAGCGCATGTGCTCACACCGTGTGTAAGCAAGGGGAGGGGCAGTGTGAGAGGGAGAGAGAGAATCCCAAACAGACTCCACCCTCATGCAGGGCCCGACACAGGGCTTGATCTCACAACCCTGAGATTGTGACCTGAGCCGAAATCAAGAGTCAGGTGCTTAACCAACTGAGCCACCCAGGCGCCCCTATCTATGTCTTTAATACATCCCAGTGGTTCTTAATGTGGGGTCTCCAGACCAGCAGCATCAGCACCCCTTGGAACATGTTAAAAATGCAGATTCTCTGGCCCACTCCAGACCCACTGAATCAGAAATTGGGATGAGGCTTAGGAACCTCTTTTTTGTTGATAGGCTCAAGCATTTCTCATGCACACCGAAGTAAAAGAACCTATGATTTATCACATTTTGAAAGCCCTCTATCAAATACCAAACTTTGTACTTTATGTTATATATGTTACTATTGAGTTTGTTACAGAAATTTTGTATGATCTATAAAACTTATTTGAGATATGGACTGGCTAGATTGGCCAATTTAAGTTATTCCATTTTAGGAAGGGTGGTGGATAATATAATCAACATAGTAGTTTTAAAAAATAAGAGCGTATCACTAGGTGTGATGGAAATCCATTTTAATTTTGAGGATATACTTTTGAATAAATTCAGTCAATTGAAAATTAATGTGATGTTAATGACAATGCTAAGACTGAACATAAGAGGGACTTTGGTGTTTCTTGAAGTGATGATGATGATATTCTTTCGGTCAGTGGCAGCTTGACTGGTTTTTGGGGGTTAACATTCCAGAAGGGAAGCTAATTTTTATTGAATAGTTGCTACATGTCAAGCATCATCAGAAGTGTCTTCACGTACTATCTCAGCCCTCAAACCACTGTGAGATAGATGTACCCCCATTTTACTAATGAAATTGAAACCCAAAGTAAGTAGTACTATTATTGATTTCATAAATTTACTCAGAGAATCTCTAAACTTTTAGAGTCAGAGCTAACAGCTTCTTTACTTCCAACTCTTCTTTCTACAAATGAGGAAGGTGAAAGACTAAGTTATGTGATTGCTACATTTCTAGGTAACTGGGACTAAGACACTCCTAATTTAAGATATGTATAGAGTGCAAAAACTCAAAATATGGAATCCTGAGGTTGCCAGACTCTTCATTCATTAACAAATAATGGGCATGGTTTGCAGTTGGGGCAAACAAATTCTTCAGACAGAATTTTAAATGTTTATCTTAAATCTCCCAAAATGAGAAAAATGTGCAGATACCACAGTCCCCTTATTAACATGACAGTGTAAGTTACAGAATATGAGTTTGACTTTGCCATATCAGCAATTAGGGCAAGATCACATAACATTTTGTATAAATCATCAGAATGCCTTTACTTTCATATTTGTAGACATGGAAAAGTCTAGAATTCCTTCTGTTTAATCAAATCAGAGTCTTTCAATTTGGTTAAATCAAAGTCTTATATTTGGAGTTAATTGGGATAAGCTTTTGAATCCTTGAATCAATTTCTTCAAATGACATGGCTAAACATACATATTCTGATACAGAATACCTTCTAATACAGATGTATCACTGTGTGTACCTTTAAATGGTGGTAATAAGAACCACTGCATATATAGATCTGTGATTAAAGTTTCTACAGCCAGAGAGTAGGAAGTGGGAGCGGACAAAGGGACCGGGGACTTGCCATCCTTTAGAAGGTTGGCAGAGTTCTACCTTTGCATTGCAGGTAAGTTGAAAAAAGAGCTGGAATCAGTTTCTTACACCCATGCAAATATCTCCGTTCTTTCACAATATCAGATAAAATGTTTAATTCCCTAGTATATGGGTTCATGCAAGTAAGAGCAAGTAAGAATTGCTCTGCTGCTTGTTATTACATGACTAATGCTTGTTAATTTGTTTTAACTAGGATCTCTGCAGAGCATCAGTTTCGTTCATCACATGCTTCACTATTGGTGAGAGGCCCCATGGCAAGCCTAGCTCCCCAGTAGGCTTTGAAATGTCATCAGTATGACCAGAGGAACCCATCCAAAGGCCCAGAGAGAGGATCTGGAGACTTCATGCAAACAGCTTAACCTCTCAGGTTGGCCAAAACTCTTCAGAAGAGAGGAAGAGGAACTGTCTCCTCTTTAGTGTTTCTCAAATCTCATTATTAATCAGAGTAATTGAGGAGCTTTTAAAAAAATACAACTTCCTAGGCCAACCCTGAAGGTTATACACCAGTAATTTGTTGAGCATACATTTAATGAGCACATACAGCATAAAAAGGTCCTATTCTAGATCCTGCCTACAAATTATTGATTCCTTGGACCCTCACAACAACTCTATATGGTAGGTACTCTGCTTTGACATGAAAGAAATAGAGGCACAGGGAAGTTCTTGCCTGAGTCCATGCATCTAGGGAATGGCAGGGCTAGGATTCAAAGCCAGGCTGTCTGGCTCCAGAAAACACATTTTTTTTTAAAGATTTATTTATTTGAGAGAGCGAGGATGAGAGAGAGAGAGCACACGAGAGGGGGGAGAGTCAGAGGGAGAAGCAGGCTCCTCGCCGAGCAGGGAGCCCGATGCGGGACTCGATCCCGGGACTCCGGGATCATGACCTGAGCCGAAGGCAGTCGCTCAACCAACTGAGCCACCCAGGCGCCCCAGAACACACATTCTTAACACTCTGCTGCCTCTGGGTCACTTGAGAATGTGACCTAGGCAGTATGCTTTCTCCCCGTCCACCTCCAATCTTAGTATAAAAGCATATACCACATAGCAATAAAGCTGTTATTAAAAAAAAAAAAAACAAACATTTCAGTTGTCAGGAGTTAGGGATGGATGGTGGGGAGCAGGGGAGTAGGTGTAACCATAAAGGGATAGCCCAGGGGAGGTCTTTTTGAAAAGTTGCATGACTTGACTGTGGTATCAGTCACATGAATCTACACATGATAAAATGATAACACACACGGGACTGATGTCAGTTGCCTGGTTTATATATTGTATATAGAAACTGTTCATATATATCGTACAATCTATATTGTATATATTGTACAAATGTGTAAGATATCTCCATCGAAGAACCTGGGTGATCAGTACACAGGACTGCTTGCTCTGTACTATTTTTGCAACTTCCTATAAATCTATAATCATTTCAAAATGAAAAGTAAAAAAAAAAAGCATATGCCTCCTTTTGGCAACCCCCAAGTCAATTAGAGGCCCGTCTCCTTAAGATTGGCTCAAAGAGAGATCATTCTTGGAAGACAGACCTTCCGCAAAGGGCAAGAAAAACCCAAAACGTAATGGCCTTGAGCAGAGCATGAATTCAGTGGCGGCGGCGGGTGGAGGCAGCTGAGCAAGGTCACCACCAACAGAGTCACGCACTTCAGTCACTACAAAGAGAGGGCTGAAACCAGTTACTTATGTCTTGCAGTGATTCCCAAATGACTAGTGCCCAGCTGGCTAAACAAGAACCTCTGGGTTGAGCGAAATGAATGCACAGAGTCCCTTTCCCACACTTAGAGACTCTGACTCAGTAGATCAAGGCCAGGGTCCAGCAGTCTGTGTTTTAAAAGCTCCCCAGGTGATGGGTTTGAGAATCTCAGATTAAGGAGCAGGTGATAAAGCAGGATCCCCAGTAACATCTCAGGAGTCAACCACTACAGGGTTTATTTGGGTTGGGATGATTAACCCAAGCCCTTGGTTTTCCTATGGTTGGTGTAGCTCAGAGCTAAGCATTCTCGTCATGTCAGATAACAATATCCAAAGTATATGCCTTTTTCTGAATGCTGTGTATAAACTGTGAACTATTATGATGAATTTTTCTATTGCCTCTTTTCTATTTGGTTATTTACCATGTTTTCTTAGGGCAGAAACGTAGTTTACAAACAACACAATTCTGTTCCAAATGCTTTAGGATTGGAAGGCCAGTAGGTACTGCTGCTAAATTAAGAATGGTTTTGGCTACAAGTTGCAAAATAATCAACCAGTAGTAATGTCAACAAGCAGGAGCCTATTTGCCTCACAGTAAAAAGTCCAGAGATAGGTGCTTGCTGGTATTGGTTCTGCAGCTCAAGAGTTGGGGCTGACATCTCCAGATCTCTTGGCCTTTCCTTCAGGGCTCCGACCTGTCTGCATTCAAGACTGGTTGAGGGGAAGGGACAGGACCACTGGCATTCTACTCTTGTCTCACTGGCCAGATGGTATCCCATGGCCACTACTGGTTGCAAAGGAGGCTGGGAAATTAAGTGTTTTGCTTTTATAGTCTCTGCGGCAGAGGCAAGAAAGGAAAATGGAGAGGGATTGGGTGTTGGGAGGGCCAACCTAGAGCATCTGTACAGCTTTCAAATTAAATTTTATCAAGCACTGTTTAATTATAGAAACAGCCGATCAGATGCATAATAATAAGTTGTCAGAAAATATTGATATGAAAATCAGGCATAAAGATCTCCACTGTCAACAATTATACATCGTTGTTTTGGTCTTTCATTCTCTGTTGGAACCAATTCTAGTTTTTGAAGAACTTTGGTTCCTTCAGTCAATTGCCTGTATAGAAGGAAAAAATGGAAAATTTAGTCAGAAATTTTCACATTAGCTTCCATTCCTAAATCCAGTCTTATCCTGTTTAGCTATGGCTATTTCCTATAAATCAGATTATCAGTCATAAATATAAATAGCCCTAGATGTGTCCACTTTGCCATGGTTCCTCCACATCTGTTCTGGGACCCTTTGAATCTGTCATCCTCACTGCTGTCAGAGTGATCCCTTAAAAATGCAACCTAAAAAAAAAAAAAATTGCAAGTCTGCTCTCACCTCCCTGCTTAAAATATTTCAGTAATTTCCCATTATCCTTATGATAAAGACCAAAAATCTCCCACCATGGCCTGCCATGGGCTGCCTCCCCGCTGCCCCCCAGTGCTGTCCTAGGGCATGCTCCCCTGGCTCTCTGCCCCAGCTAGACTGACTTCAGTACCTCAGTATCCCATGTTGCTTTCCTGCCACGTCTGTCTGCTGTGCTCCTGCCCCCCGCTTCCCCTTCACGTCCCTACCTCCTGGTCTGCCTTCAGATCTCAGCTCAGTCATCACTCCTCGTCACTCCTTGCTTATGTCAAGCTCCCGGCTGTCTTTATAGGAGTTATCGGGGATAATTTGACATTTATTTGTATGCTTCTTTGGTTAATTTCTGATTCTCCCATGAGGACATAGTTCATGCTTTTACTTAGTACTCAATGCCTAACACACTGCCTGGGACATAGTAGGCACCTAATCACATCGCTGAATACGTGAATAAAAGCTCAAAGCCATGCTAGTTTGGATCTCTGTAGATATTCACTGGCCATGAGCTGGAACTCCCTGAGAGGAGCTGTACTTAACGATGGTTCTCTCAACTGCAAGAGAGTAACATGGGCTAGAGAGACAGCCCTAAACGTAGGACTGGTTCCCTTTGCCAGTGTTTGAGTTGAGGCAGTGGCTGAGGGGAAGGTACAATTTCCATTTCATGAACTTTTATATGGACACAGCAGTGCTGACACTGAACATGCTGGAGTCATCTCTTTGTCCGCCTCTCTGGCTGTCGCCGTCAGAAACCATGACGCAGAGCCCAACACAAGGTACATTCTGAGGATGAGGAGCAAGGGATAAACGGACAGATTCACCTCTGACCAAAGAGGATGTAGAGCCTGGTCTCCAGATTGGTTTCACAAATACTGAAGGAGCACCTACTGTGTGCATCTCTCCACTGTGACAGGTGTTAGAAGATGCAAGTGTTTACAGAGCGCCAAGGAGGACAAAGAAGCAGTTTGATTCTGGTAATCAGGAGGTTTCTGACTTAAGCCTTGAACGGGATTTTGGCCGAAAGGAACAAGATAAGCGAAGGCCCAGAGGCTGTCCTGGGAGTGTTGGTACTCTGGTCTGGCTGCAGCTCAGCTGCCATGGTGAGTTTCCAAGTCTCCATTTCCAGCCTTTGTGCCCCCTTGAATACCTACTTATGGTATCCCAGAGCTGCCTTCTGCCTCACGTGTAGGTATCCTAATCTGAAACATAACTTGTCCATCCTAAATCCATGATCTTCTCTCCCATATGCTCCTATTTTCTGTCTTGGTGAACGGCATCAATCATCCAACCAGTTTGAAGATCCTAGGAGTTTCTCTAGACCGTCACTACCCAGTATGGTAGCCACTGGCCACAGGTGGGTATTTAAATTTAAAACTTAGTAAATTTAGTTCCTCAGTTGTACCAGTCAGATTTTGAGTGCTCAGTAGCCACATGGGGCTAGCAGCTGTCACACGGGACGGCACAGATTGTAGTACATTTGCATCACTGCAGAAGATTCTGCTACATACCACTGCTTGATACTCTTCCCATGACCTCACCACCACCATCGAAATCGTCTCTAGAGTCTTGTTGAATCCAACCTCTGAGTATCTCTTGAGTCTTTCTGTTTACCCCTCGCTTCTCTGTACTGCCAGTGCCTTGGGCCAGGACTTCATTTATGGTACTATTATTACTATTATCATCGCTTCCAAACTGGACTTGCCAGTCTCATCCCCACTTCTGCTGAAGACCCTGGTCGTGTTGCTCCCAATTAATTCCTCCATGGCTTCCCATCTCCTTTGGGTGGGGGTCCCTGCTTAGCAGCATTGCACTCAGAGCCCTTTGGGACCTGGGCCTGACCGTCTCCTCCTCTCTACCCTCCTGTCTCTCTCCATTCACCCCTAGGGGGCTAAGCTCTAGCCAGACCAAATGAATTATAGGTAAGAGGCTCTCTTTATTCCTTAGGGCCCCTCTGCAAAGGCTCTTCACTCTTCCTAAAATTTGATTTTACTCATTTTGACTTCAGTCTTCTCTGGCTAACTTCTACTTGAATTTCAATACTCATCTCACCTTCTCATGAAGCTTTCTATGACCACCCCCCCATGTCCCCAACATATACCCCTTCTACCTATGCATGTACGAATGGAGATCTTACAGGCTTGTGTTTTGACATTCTTTCCCTATGAAACCATTGGGCAAGATAGTCTCCCCGAAGGGCATTCCTAGTGTCATCCATCTGAAGGGACAAGTTCATGTACCAGAAACTAGGGCTCAAAAGGAGGGTCTGTCTCTGGACCTTGCTAACCATGTCTGGGATTCCAGAAGCTCAGATAAACCTGGGGACGCTCTGAGATGATAGGAAGAGAAAGCATTAACACCAGAGGCAGCCCTACAGTGGAGAAGGATGATAACCCCTGAAGGAGTTACACCTTGTCAGAGTATCTACTTGCCTGTTATGGTGCTTCTCCCTAGTGTTCTTTAAGGTCTTGTTTACATATTTCAGCCCAGACTCAGCTCTGATTTGGAGATTTAAGGGATCGCTTGAGATCATACTTGGGCTAGAACAATAAAAGAGGTGCAGTGCCCCCCCTAAAACCAGTGTGGTGGTGACAAAGAAATTGAGTGAGCAAAATACCCCTGGAGGAAGGTGAATCACATGGAAAATAACGATCGTCAAAAGGAGACCACATCCTCCACTCCACTGCCATCCTCTAGGGATCTGTGTTTGCTTTTACTAGAGGAGTTGGGGAGTGCTGTGTCCTGTCTCTCCTGTATCCCCAGTGCACTCTTACAGAACTGGTATAGCCTATGTCTCACTTACAGTTGTTGGTTTTCTAATACACTGTAGACTCCCTAAAGGGCAGAAACTGTGCCTCTTCACTCTTTCCCCAGGACTGAGCACCATGACTGGCATATAGTAGGTGCCTAATAAAATGCTGGTTGAATGAATGAGTCAGGAGGCTAACAGAAGTGAAAGCTGAAACAGATGTGGGGTCAGCAGTAAAGGCCCCGAATGCCACTCTAGACTTTAGGGTATATACATCTGGGGGTGGACATGGTGAAAAAGGAGACATAAAACATTTTAAAGTAGTCATGTGTGCGTTTGAGAAGGAACCTTTTGGAAAGATAGGAAGGATCACCTAATCATGTGGTTAAGATGACAGGAAGATATTTAAATGATCCAAGAAATTGTGAGTTTTATTTGGATTTTAAAATAATTGAAGAATGCGTTTTCAAAATCAGAATACAGTTTATTAGGACCAGGGAAAATAGAAGATAACATCATTTTAGGTTATGCATCTATCAATATAAAATCGTCTTTTGGATGAAAATACACTTTCTGCTTTTTCGGTCTAGAAATATCACTTGCATTACATTGAAGGGATAATTGTGGTTTAAATTAAAACTGCTATGAAATTCCTTCATGGGATGAAGAGTCAGTAATTATCCCTGTGGAATAGCTGGAATAATCTAATACTTATTCAGAAAAATTCTAACACTCTGCATCATTTCAGGGAAGACCAAGTAAGCTTCTACTTATGTTCACTCCACTAATCAAATAGAGACATAAACACTGGAGTGATAAAGAGTATGTCCATCATCCATTTTAGGTCCACATGCCTATAAGCAACTTGCTAATAATATTCTAGTCATTATTACCTGAGGTGTTTCCATATTTTAAATTGTTCAGTTAAAAAAGTTACTTGTAATTTGGATAGTTTTCATACATCTCTTCACAGTGTTCATGGACAGGCACTTAAATGGCTTCAGCTCACTTCTGCATCTAAATATATCTATGTGATTAAGCACTATGGTATTATTCATAGTAAATAAGAATGACAATGTCCTTGAGGCTGAAGATAGAAGGATGGATGGATGGATAGTCAGAACATAATAATGGCTGTACCTTAATGGTTTCTGTGTTTTTTATAGGTAGCAGGCTTCTTATGAAATATTTATTCTAAATGTTTGTATTTGTATTATTTTTGCTTTTAAATTACATCTTCAGTTGCCCATAAACTATGTGGACCACATTTTTTAAAAGATTTTATTTATTTATTTTGGAGAGAAAGAGAGGGCATGAGCAGGGGGAGGAGCAGACAGAGAGGGACAAGCAGACTCCATGGTGAGTGCGGAGCCTGACTTGGGGCTCAATCCCACAACCCTGAGATCACGACCTGAGCCAAAATCAAGAGTCAGGTGCTTAACCGACTGAGCCACCCAGGTGCCCCAAACTGCATATATATATAGACAAGCTTACAATGTACATACCCAAAAGCCACGTATTTTCTATCTAGATAGGGCGCTGGTTGTAGTGTGATGTAGAATTGTGACCCGTTGCTGTGACGGCCTTTGTTGGCCATCCCAAGAACTCCCCTTTTATTATGAGGAATTGAAAAGTTTTCATCTAGAAAAGACAATACATAGTAGGTCACTGAAATAGTTCCAAATTGTATTCTGTTTCATATTTCACTCAACTGGGCTGTTAAAAAAGATAAGCTAGAAAGTCTTCATTAGAACTATTTTCAACATTTCTCCACCTTCAGTTTATCATTACTGTAGCTAAAACCAAGTCTGCTAAGAAAATTAGTAATGTAAAAGGAAGGACATCGCTGAGGAATAAAGATCAGCATATTTTCTTGTGCCGTGTGGCCATAGTATTTCATTCAAACTACCAGTGTGGTCACTGAAAATACCCTCTTTGGGAAGGCTTTTGGATCTGACCCCGGCCCTCACAGCACCTTCTGCAGCCCTCTGGGGTGTCTTTGTGACCTGCGCTGCTGTTGATACAACTTTTCTTCTCTACTGTGTGCAGGCGGTCTCCGTATAGCTTTGCTCCTAAGGCCTCCTGGCACGTTAGCTGGCACAGATGTGGCCTTAAATGTTGGTGATGAAAAGAAAGGAAGTCATGCTTATTTTTAGTAGTCTTTAAATAAAGTTTGATCTCAAACCTTATATAGATTGACCAAGATTTTGTGGAAAGTGATTTTCTTTTAATTTTTTTTTTTTTTTTTAGTGTAAGGTTAGCAAGTAAAGAGAATTGTATGGTGGTGAATTAGGCCACTCTTTTCAGGAAGTGCCGTTTCTAGCATAAAGATTTACCTCCAAACTCAGAAACACAGAGGAAGTGGTGGAAGAGGAATTCACTAAAAGTTTTCATTCAATAACCTTATAAAATTCTGGGAATATTTGAGAGGTATGAGCATTAACTGTCAAGATTTCCTGAAGCTGCAGTTGCTAAGTATTCGACGTTTCAAAGCTAAACCAACTAAGCAATGAAGCCGTATCCGTAGTAGTTACTTTTAGCTTTTAAATTGCAACTGAGTAAAAACCTCTGAAATCTTGTGAGGTGCATATAAAGCACTTTTGTACAAATGAGCCTATATAATTACATTGATGTTCTGTATTCATTTCAAGGGAATTAAGAAATAATCCATTACTTTTACAGAAAATTACATGGCACAGAAATCTGCCCAAGGTAAAGATTCAGAGTTTTAACAAAACAGTATTTGTCATTGCTCTCAGATATATGATAAATTTTTTTCTTAAATTCTGTAAGCAATAAGAAGAAAATTTATAGGGTTGTAACATTTTTTTACCCAAAGTTCTATGATTATGGGAGAAATTTTAAGGCTTAATTAACTGGACATTGGGGAGGTATGTGCTGTGGTGAGCACTGTGTATTGTGTAAGACTGATGAATCACAGACCTGTACCCCTGAAACAAATAATACATTGTATGTTAATTAAAAAAAAAAAAGCTTAACTTTTAAAGTTAACATGTAGGTATAGGGAGCCCTTGACTTACAAATTTAAAGTGTGTTTACCTCAAAAGTGTGAAAATTAAGTAACTATGTTAACAATTGTTTTAACAGAATGTTGCTGTGGAACTTAAGGACCTGAGGCTAGTGTGTTCTGAGGGTTAAGTGCAGAGCTTAAGACTTTTCAGTTATATAAAAAATGTAAGTTTAATGTGCTCACATAATTTTTTGAGGACAGGGAAAAACAACCCTTCTCCCCCCCACTTTGTCTGAGTGGAATAATTAACTATTCTAGATTATTTTCACTCTCTTAGCAGCTGTGAATGGAAAGGAAAAATTTCAGCAACCTACAAAAAAATGTTTTGAAGTAGGAAGAACAAAAAACGTCTTTTTTATTGCCAGGCAAAAATAGAAAAATTTAAAATTTGAGTGCTGGCTAAACCTGCAAAATTAGTAATAATTTTATTTTTAGGTCATGTTAACTGAGGCATGGAAGGAAGTTTAAAAGCTATGGTAAGATCTCAGGACCCTCTCATTACATTGTCTATGACTCAGGAATTCCCGCCTCTACCACTTACCATAAGATATGGAATCGAGTTACTGCTCTGTGGTCAAAACTGGCATCATTTGTAACATACAACATGAAGGGTAACATGTAACTATTTGAAATAGAAATCAGACTTTATGTGCTGAAGAAAATCGGTTTCTGAATCTGTTTAAAATAAAGCTCATTGATGCTTACAAAGGAAGCAACTACCACAAGTCTGGGAAGACTGCCATGCATTCTCTCTGGTAAAAGTATAATTAGACAGGGGCGCCTGAGTGGCTCAGTTGGTTAAGCAACTGCCTTCAGCTCAGGTCATGATCCTCGAGTCCCAGGATCGAGTCCCAGGATCGAGTCCCCATTGGTGTTCCCTGCTCAGCGGGGAGTCTGCTTCTCCCTCTGACCCTCCCCCTCTCATGCTCTCTCTCTCTCTCTCATTCTCTCTCAAATAAATATTTTTTTAGAAAAGTATAATCAGACAGGTTAGGACATTTCCATGTAATTTGCTGAAGGCAATCATACCAAGTAAAAATCTGACCCGAATCCTGCAGTATCAGTTTTGTAAACCAACTGTTCTATTTTTACCATCATATTTGATAACAGCTATTCACTATTTATTATTATATAAAAGTACATGAAAGTGTGCTACTTAGCATGTTTTAATTGTTGCTTTAATGAAGCATTTGTAAGTAAACATGTTGATTGTGTGTGTGACATTAGGAAGGAATAGCCAGTATTCATGAACACTTGCAGGGATAAACACTTAGGGTGTATTTATAACATTGAACACTAGTGACAAGAGGACTCCAGCTATAGAGAACATGAATGAATTTCATAGGCAGTGCATGAACAAAAGAAGCAAGGCACACAAAGAATGCCTACAGTGTAATTCCACTTACTTAAAATTCAAAAACGGGCAAAATTTAACTGTATTGTTTAGGGATACACACATGGGTGGTTAAACTATCAAGGAAAGCAAGGAAAAAAGGCAGGCTAGTGGTTACCTCTGAGGGAGGTGGAGTATTGTTGATGATGGATAAATAGGGTGTTTCTGGCATGCTGGCAATTTTTCTTTCTTGACAAGGATGGTAATACGGGGATTTGCTTTATAATTATGTTTTAACTGTGCATATGCACTTTCCATATATAAGTCTCACAATTTTTTAAAAAATAGCCCATAAATGGCTACCCAGACCATACTATTTTCAGTTACTCAGTACTGACAGTACATCAGGCTCTGTGTCTTTTATTAATGAACACTTTCATTTATTTTTTTTAAAGATTTTGAGAGACAGAGTGAGCACGAGCAGGGGGAGGGGCAGAGGGAGGAGGGGCAGAGGGAGAAGCAGGCTTCCCGCCGAGCAGGGAGCCCGATGTGGGGCTCCATCCCAGGACCCCGGGATCATGACCCGAGCCGAAGGCAGAGGCTTAACCGACTGAGCCACCCAGGCACCCCGAACACTTTCATTTAAAGGCAAGGAGATCTAAGAATTAGACAAATGGATGTTAAGTGCTGCGTCTGTGAATTAGGGCACAAGCTGATATTAACAAACTGGCCTACTTAACGTAACAAGGATAATACAGTATTTTAAAATGTTTTTCTTTTTCTTTTTGTATAAATGATATTTTCTTTAGTCAGCCCAAACCACCTAATTGCCAATCCTTGGCCAGTGAGAAGGATTAGGGATATTATACAAGGAGAAAAAAAAGGGTTAATAGTTTCTAACATTCAGAATAGGATTTGGGAAGACTGTTTAAAAAGTTGTGGTGCAAAACAGACTTTCTTCAAGTTAAAAAAATGATTAACCAATTTATAAAATAATCATCTAATTGAATAATTTATTACATTCTTTTAAATTCACTGTGCTCAGCTTAATAAAAATGAGTTTTGTGGTTGTAGTCATTTTTAGCAAGCCCCGGGTTTCAATCCTGCCGCTCATGGTAATAGGGTTCAATGAGAGAGATGTGGAGGAGGAGGGACGGGCTGGCCGCTGTGTGCATATCCCCCAGGGGCTGAAAGAGGGAAGGGAAACCCATGCTTCTCTGTTCTGAGCAGTTACTCATCTCTCCTTGGGGGCATCTCTCCTTTTCATTTGATGGGTTATTGAGTTTCTAATTCTGCACCTGCAGATATCCTGAGTAATGGAGGCTTCCCTAAACACACTGGGCCTCCGCCTGGCACCAGAGGACAGCCGCCTCCATCTGGAGACTAAATCTCCGTAACAGTGTAAGGATAGGAGTGAGGGACCATCAGCAGAGGCACAGGGTTGTGCAGGGGGCAGGCAAGGGGAGGAGCTAAGAGATGTGTCTCCTGCTGGACAGAAGGGCCAAGTTGTCTGAGACTGTGCCTCCAAATAGGAGTCCGGGTGATCTGACAGCAGCCGTGGGGTGGACCGATAGGGTGGATTCTCATCAGGGATTAAGCCTGTCAGGAAAGCATCCAGGAACATCCCTTCCCCATCTGCAATGTTTTATTTTAAGACCCAACTCAAAAGCTACTCTGGGCCACCGCCCCCAACTCTCCCAGGCAGCTGGTGGTTCTTTTCCCACAGTGCTCAGTGCTTCCTCTGTAACGGCCATTGGCACTGTGCCTGGAGCTAATCTGTTTCAGTATCTGTCTGCACCAAACCTAAAATCTTTGAGGCTGGAAGCTTGGTCATATCATCTTTGTTTCCTAAGGTCCTAGCACCATGTAGGCACCTAACTAAGAGTTGAATGTTTTATTAATGAATAAATAAATAAATGGGGTCACTCGCCCAGCTTCATTTGATAAAGCGGGCTCCACATGCACTTAGAAGGAAATTGGCTTTTCCTTTTCCCTTCACTTTGGTATTGGTTCAATATTACTTTAAAAAAAAAACAAAAACCTTTTCATTGTATTAAAATTTAGACACAAAAGCCATAGAAAACTAATGTATAGTTGTATTTATTATTAGTTATTATAAGGGAAACACCCTTTTCATCCCCACTCAGTCCAGCTTAAGTGCCTTGTCTGGTTCAAAAGTAACTACTCCCCTGACTTTTAAATGCTCTCATGCTTAATGTTTCCTTATACGGTTGGCCCTTGAACAGCACTAGCTCTGATCTGCAGGCTCCACTCACATGGGGATGTTTTTCAATGCGGTACAGAACTGTAAATGTATTTTCTCTTCCTTATGATTTTCTTTTTTTTTTTAAAGATTTTATTTATTTATTTGAGAGAGAGAGAATGAGAGAGAGCACATGAGAGGGGGGAGGGTCAGAGGGAGAAGCAGACTCCCTGCTGAGCAGGGAGCCCGATGCGGGACTCGATCCAGGGACTCCAGGATCATGACCTGAGCCGAAGGCAGTCGCTTAACCAACTGAGCCACCCAGGCGCCCCCTTATGATTTTCTTAACATTTTCTTTAGCTTATTTCATTGTAAGAAGATGGTATATAATACATACAACTTACAAAATATGTGTTAATCAACTGTTTATGTTTTTGATAAGGCTTCAGGTCAATAGTGTTAGTACTTAGTCCACAGCTATCAGTAGTTACTAGGTAGTATAGTTTAGTCTTTACCATTTTATTTTTTTCCCTTTTTTTAAAAGATTTTATTTATTTGAGAGAGAGAGCAGGGGGGAGGGGCAGAGGGGGAGAGAGAGAGAGGGATAAGCAGATTCCCTGCTCAGCAAGGAGCCCGATGCGGCTCGATCCCGTGGCCCCGGGATCATGACCCGAGCCGAAGGCAGATGCTTAACCGACTGAGCCACCCAGGTGCCCCAGTCTTTACCATTTTAAAAGACTTGTTGTGACTTTTAAGTCTCTCTTAATCTTCAAGGTCTGCCTCTGTCCCTCTACTTACTCTTATCTGTTAATAAACCGGAACTGTTTAACCTCTAGAATTTTTCCCAGTCCGAAATTTGCTGATTGCACCTGCATGGGGCATTTCAGTATGTTTCTGTGTTCTCTGTCCTGTCCTTTTGCCTAGAATACTTGTGTTAAGAAGGCAAATTAGTTTCAACTTGATTGATATATTGGGAACATCTGAGCATAATGAAGCTCGCCTGTGTTTATGTGCAATGTCTAGGAGAAACACCAGGTAAATGTAGAAAATGGCTCCCAGCTGAACCGAGCTGCATAGGAACACACACACCTCAGACGTCCGCCACAGGTCACCACATCCACCACATCCACCACATCCACCCACGTCTGATGTTACAACCTGCCTCCAATTTCAGAGAGCCCTCCTTCCACCACTTCACAATCACTCCCAAGCTGCAACTCTTCCCATGCCACCACCTCAAACGTCAGGGAGCTTTCAAGGTAGAGTGCCAAATTTAGTATAGTATTTCTGTGTTTCTTGACCATAAAATACATGTTAAACTGTTACTGTTTTTATCAGGTTACTCTATATTTTAATGTGTCACTGAGAAAGGGTTTTTTTGTACCGCACTTTTGCCGTAAGTCCTGTAGTTTTTAATGCATGATTTTGCATAGTGCAGAGATCTTTAAGACCATATGACATCACAACTGGTTGTATTTCCTGCAGATTGGCCGCTGGGTCCAGAGGCTTAATCAGACTCATGTTCTGTCCCTTTGGTGGTGTATTCTCTCCACAGAAGGCTCATAATGTCTGGTTGTCCCTGTTTTTGTGAAGTTGGCAGATACCAATGCAGCAAAGGCATAGATCCATTATTTCACTGGGGCAGCAAAATGGTGCTATTCTAATTCTTTTATTTCCTTGTCATCTATCTATTGGAATGCTTTTATAAGTAGCAATTTTATCTACAATTTAGTACAGTTTATATAGGAAAGGCAAGATAAATGCTTGATTCTTTGCTTATATTTATCAATTTTTAAGATAATGAATTTGTTTCCCATCATTCCCCCAAAGATAAGCTGTTAGGCTTTATTTTATAATATGATGTCATTATGAACTCATGGATTTAAAATACTTGTTGGGTTTCAGTTATTTGCGATTACTGTTCTTTTTGAAGTTCAAATCTTTGGCCAGTGAGAGCCTCTTCAAGTTGTCTCCCAAGGCCTTTGACATGACCCTAGTAAATCTTTAATAGCTTTCTTGCTATCTGATAATAGCATGACTAAACAGTAGGTTCAAGGCTCATTTTGTAATTTCCTGTCCTGGAACTGAAACCTGCCATTTCTCCCGGGAGCTCTGGTTTCTTTAAGTGAGAAGTGACACTTCAGAACACCAATCTAAATGCTAGGAGTGTGTAAAGCTACTAGGTTGGTCCTTGTAGACCAAGTCAGTGGATAGAGCTATATAGGTAGATACGCTTTGTGAGTTTAAACTGATATTTCCAATACAGAATATTTTACTTATTAGCCTCTATTATATTGCATATTTATCTCCCTTCTTGCACATTGAAAATCATGATTCTTTCAAGGACACACAAAACGATGAATTTAGGATATCCTATAATTACTTACTTTTTCCACATTACATATACAACAGTCTCAAAATAACAGTATTAATACCATCACTAGTATAATTACTGAAAATAGTTAAAAGTTTTTGCATACATTCTCCCCATTTTTTCCAGTTTTAAAAAGGTAGGCTAAAGATACAGTCATTACATATCATACTCTCACCCTTTATTCCTCATTAAAGTTTAGTTTCACAAGTCACTATGTGATTACTGCTTATCACCAATCCTTATGTCAGGGTCTCTCTTATAATTTGTGTGAAACTCATTCTGCAGTCGATTCCTCAGGATCAAGAAGGGCTTGTGGCAACATTATTCCCTAAAGTTTTACATATTGAAAAGTCTGTGTGCCCTTTATAATTCAGATTCAGTTTGGCTGAATATAAAATCCTTAGCTCATGATTCCTTTCCTTGAGCATCTTAAATGTATTACTCCATTTTCTCGTGACATAATAATATAATGTCAAAGAATATGATGATAACTTACTTTTCTTTCCCTTACAAATCACTTGCTCTTTTTGCCTACCTGCCCAAAGAATTTTTACTTTTTCTTAACTGTCCAAAATTTTACTAAAATATGTCTTAGTGTTGGTTGTTCTGGTTTAATATTATCAGGTGGCACTGTTCTCTTTCAAGAAGTAATGTCAAGTTTTTATACAATATTTTTACTTGAGGTACAAACATACAATAAAATGCATTTATCTTAGATGTTCAGTTTGATGCATTTTGACAGTTGTGTGTAGCTGTGTAACCACCACGAAAAACAAAAATAGAACATCAAATCCTTTTTAAACGCAGGAGGTTTTTTCAATATTAGTTCTTAGCATTTGCTCCATTCCCTAGCATTCATTTAATCCTTTAGGGACAACCTTCCATCCATATGTTGGATCTTCTCTTTCTAGCTATTTGTCACTTTCTCATAAATCCTTTTATCTTTCTTCATTTCTTTTTGGTTTTAAAAAATTCCCTCCTTCCACCTTTTACTTCTTTTAAGACATACATATCTGTCGTGTTTATTTGACCCATGTTCCTTCTAGTTTATTTCTGAAATGTTCTTTTACTGCTGATTCTTCCCTAGTTCTGTAACCTCTAAGTTTTTCTAATTCTGACTTATGAGTTCTTTCCTGTCTTGTATCATATTCTCAATGTCTTCTGGCTCACTCTGAAATTTGTAGTTTTGATCTGTTTTGTGAGCATGTCTTTCCTAGTGTACTTTCATGATCTGTAGTGATATTATTCTGCTCCTTATTCTCTTTTACTTCTTCTAATAACCATGAAACTTTTTGTTGCCTGTTTTTATGTAAAATTAGGTTTCCTAGGTGTTTAGAAGGAGGTGTGGCTTTAGAAGGAAGGTCGCTTTTCTGACTTCACAAAGCTCCCTCTTGTGCTGTTTTCATGTAGTGTTCGACAGTATGGCAACTTGCTTTCTGAGACTTTCTGGCTCTGTCCCCATTCCCTCTTTGTCGCTGTTGCCCTTCTATCCTGCATAACTTTGATTCCATTCACAGCAACACCTCCTTGTGTGGGCCTGTCTTGGAAGAGCGCCCTTTCAGATCAGTTTCAAGAGTTCAGAGAGGTTAGGCTGCTCCAGCCTCAGACCTTACCAGGGACCCCCTTGCACTCACCCACTGTTGGCTATTTTGGGGTTCTGCTAGTCTCAAGTCCACCAGATGTGCTGTTTTTTCCCACACAGATGCTGACATCTTGCAGATTTCATAGCTATAGGAAGTTTGTCCTCATCTGTTTGAATTGAGCATTTAGATACCTTGTCACCTAGTTTTGTTGTAAATGTCATCCACGGGTTTTTAGTTTTTTTATCTACTTATACGGTCTGTTTTTATGTTGGAATTTCAAAAGATTCAAAAACTGTGCCGTCACCACGACCTCATCTTCCCAGGATCCCCAACAGCAGTTTTAATGGGATGATTATCAAAGTACCAAATTCTGGGTACAAGCATGGCAAATTACAAGCCTTAAAAATATAAATTCCCGGGGCACCTGGGTGGCTCAGTCGTTAAGCGTCTGCCTTCGGCTCAGGTCATGATCCCAGGTTCCTGGGATCGAGCCCCGCATCAGGCTCCCTGCTCAGCAGGAAGCCTGCTTCTCCCTCTCCCACTCCCCCTGCTTGTGTTCCCTCTCTTGCTGTGTCTCTCTCTATCAAATAAATAAAATCTTTAAAAATATATATATATAAATTCCCTTTGACCCTACAATAATAATTCTAGAAATTTAGCCTAAAGGAATAATATAATTAGGCAAGTGAAAAAATATGTATACAAAGCTGTTCTGGACTGGACTGGGGTGTGTTTCCCCCTATCCCATTTGTAACTCCCACTTTTCAGTGTGTTATCCCAAACACCATCTTATTTGGAGTTGTGAATTGTCCAGTCTTGTTAGATTTGAATTATCAGCTGATATAGACTGACAGAATTTAAAGATACATACCTTCAAATGTTGGTCCATAAATCGACTCTCCATCATCTCCTTTTCCTTCTACTATATCTGAGAAATAACAATAAACAAACATTAGAATTTTGAGACTAAAAAAGAGTATGGTAATGGCCGGGGGAAAATGCTTTAAGTTATGATTCCACTTATACCAATGACTAGAGTAAGTTATATGATACATAATTGTTCAAAATCTAAACCATGAAAATATTACTATAATGATTTCACTTGTATTTTGTAAGCACTCTAACATTCATGATCCCATTTTTTCCCCTGATAACTCTTTGAAGTAGGCAAAATTATAATGCAAAACATTTGAAATGATGAAGTATTAAATTATAATTGTGGTCATAATTTAAAGGAAGTGTGTTCATATAAATTCGGCTTGCCTCACAAGTTATTCCATAGTCCATCTTGCTTTTTAGGAAAATGGAAAGACCAGACTGAGAGAATGAAATAGGAACAGTGAGGTCTTTTTAGAAGAGGGATAAAAACAGATGGCTCTAAAAAGAATCAGTGTTCAAATTTTCATTCCTTGGAACCCCAGAGTGATAATTCATTTATTTAGCCAGTATTTTGGAAAGGAAGATCCCTTATAATGTAATGAGGTAGATTAAAAAAAAAAAGTATTTGTCATGTCCCATTTTGCATTATATGCATTATACACATACTTTTGCTCAGGCAGTGCTCCTACAGTAAACATCCTCCATGCACAAACGACTTTTTCTGTATCCACAGGTGAAAGGGAAACAAAGGTGACTACTGGAAATAGCGGACTCTGGTGGAAATAAGGGTCTCTCAGCTCTGTGCCCCCGGCCTCCCCATCAGCATCTCTTTACTTCCTTTCCTCTCTCATTCAGCCTCCTTGAGTACAGTGTACAATACAGCTCTGTTGAAAGACTGTGCCATTTTAACTCAGTGTGAGTGAGTTACCTGTAATAAAAGTGCACTGTAAAGAAATCAGATGCAACAGCAAGCATGTGGAGAGAATTTATTCAAGACAGGCATGTAGCATTTAAATTCCATTCACAAACTGGTTCAGAAGTTAATCATTAATCCTGAAGTCTTCAACCCTACTCTGCCTGATACTCCCCGCGTGACTCACCCAGAGCCCTCAGCATCTCCCAGGGGCACACTGCAGTGGCGGAAGGCTAACTCCAGAAATGGGGAAGTCACACGTCCTCCAGCATCAATTCCTTCTGATCCTAGAGTTGGCTTTGCTCAGACAAATCGGCCTGTGGTTCACCACCCCTACTGACTCACTTCAGCATCGGTGATACTCCTTTGCCGTCTCTCCAACACCCACCATTCCTCTTGCCCTTTGTTTCACATCCTCCGGGGAAATTATTTTTTTTAATTTTATTTTATTATGTTATGTTAATCACCATACATTACATCATTAGTTTTTGATGTAGTGTTCCATGATTCATTGTTTGC